CCCCGACCCGCCCCTCCCCCTCCGCCCCGCCGACGGCGTCCGATAAAGGCGCCTCCTGCAGGCAATTCATCACGAGCGCCTCTCTTTAACACGAGTCGAACGACAAAAAAATAGAAAAAACACGAGCGTTTTTTTCACCGGGAAACCCCGCGGCCCGGCCGAGTGTTTACAGACTTAAAAGCAGAGGCGGAGTCCGTGATTTTCCGGGGTCTTTTCTTGCCGAGACGCCGGAGCCTCATGAATGAGTCCGAGAAAACGCCGACGAACGAGACTTATGCTTAGGAAAAACGCTCAACTTGTGAGCGATGCCGGATTTCGTCTGCTAAAATACGAATTTTCAGGGAAAATTGAGATTTTCCTTCCAATTTTCTGGAGAATTTTATTTCAATTTTCTAGAGAATTTTATTTACGACTCAATCTAAAGAGGTTGAAAATGTTTTACGAAAATATTCGAAAATGTTCATAAAAATAAATATTTTATGGGGAAAAACTTGGCAATATTTGAACATTTCTACGATGTCTTCCGTAGTGCAACGGAATCGCTGCAAGAACATCCGGATGGCGTCAAACTACTTCAATTTTTCAGACTTTTCCGACTTTCATTGGAATTAAATTACATCTTGCGATAGGGATCTACGATTTTTGGTTCATTTCACACACAAATGTACTCGTATGTGCCATAAGGCTCCCTACGTGGATAGCTGCTTCCTGCACAAAATCGTGAAGTATAAACTTTCTGTAGTACATTCTCTTCTGTTTACTCATAGTAGAAGGATGGGTAAAAACGCTAGTAGACGTCTAAACAAGACCAAAGATTCTGATACCACTATTCAAACTCTCGAGAGCGCATATTGCCTACCCTCTTAAATGAAGGAAAATTGAATGCAAGAAGCTATACCTCAAGCAAAGTTTCTCGGGGCGATATTGACGGTATTTAATTCTCCGTAAGAACTGATAAGAATTGAAATCACCACCGTTGGATAACCATCCAACAAGGAAAAGAAGTAGTTACTTACGTTGACCCAGGTTGGCTTCAGGGTATTTTTCCCTGATGAGACGGCAGGCGTCGAAGACGTTCATGAGCGGATCGAACTGCATCGTCTTGATGACGTTCCGCTCCACGATGCTGATCCTGAGCGAGAGGTTCGCCATTTTTCTGTCGTCACCGTCCTGCCCGGCACCGGCACCGACTCACTGAAACAACCCCAAAATTCCACAAATTAATTTCATTCAATTAACGTTCAAGTTAGCAGTAGAAATTAGAATATACACAACAAAATTACTCACGAGCATTCTAGCCTTGGTTTTCCATTTGATATTTTTTGGTAGGTGGTTAAAATGGTATAGGAATAGTTTGATCAAATTTGGGTTAGTGAGATTGATATTTGGACGTATTTCGACCAAACAGACCTATGTGGAGGTGAGAAATATGGGGTGTGCTCGTTAGTTCTCTGGCCGTAAGAGTGAATGGGAATAATAAAGCGCCAGTGACGTCAGCGGCAATGATCGAGCACTCGAGCGAGGGGGAGATCGTCGTCGGGGCGTTTTAACTCATGAGCCCTGTCCACAAGGCTCTCTTGCCATGCCCGCGGCTCATGAGTTCCGCATTCAGTTGGCACATAGGTCTCTTTGATAGAATGCAAAATCCCGCTTTTCCAATTCTTCAAAAGGAATCACGCCCACTTTTACATTGCTTCTTATGCAGCTTCCAAGAGCACACCCCATATTTCTCACCTCCACATAGGTCTGTTTTGTAGAAATACGTCCATTTTTCATGTCTCCCTGAAGGCTGAAACGCGTCCTCAGTTGCTTTCTTGAATGGTCGTCACTAATGTTGCACCAAACAGCGTATCTCTTTGAGGGAAAATTGTGCTCATATGAGCTTTTTCCCTCTGTATTGAGATTTTCAGCTTTAAGCTGATTTTCAACGTACGTTGCCTAAAAAATTGTAACATTCTGTCTTAAGACCCGTGCGTCGGTCGCAATCAGTTTGTGTTACTGATTTTTGTCTTTATTTTATTGTAATCTTAAGTTACATTAAACTAGTAATTTTCAAAATTATGATTAAATTCACTCAATTTAAATTTTAACAAGAAAACGGGGAACATTTTGAAGGTCAGAATTCTCGTGAGTAATTTTTTCTGTTAATTTAATTAGCCAATCCAACGGAACACGAAAAAAAGAGGACGAATCTGGACTCGGCCCGACCCGCCACCCACTTGACGCGTGTCGTTCTCAGCGATTTATCCGCCATTTAAACCTATGGTAAAGGATCGATTGTATTAATGATCGATTCTTTACCACAGCTTGAATGGGAAAATATCGGTAGTCGATAATTGACGCCTCGCCACTACTGGTGGCCGCCCACGCTCCAGAAGCCTTCCCCCCCCCCCCCCCCCCCCCCCCCTNTCCGGACCCCGCTTCTGCATCGGTCGACGTGCGACTATTTTTGGACGCTTCCACGGATTTTGATGGACAGCCGCTGCTGTGCTAAGGAAGAACCCCTTAAGAACCTCCGCACGTTGCCAAATTTCCTTTTATAAAATACGAATTTTCAGGAAAACTTGCGAATAATGTGCGTCAAATTTTTCAGAGATTATTATTCGCAATTTGATCAACGGTAGGTGAAAATTTCATGGAAAAATATTTATAAATTCCCTCAAAAATTACCGTTTCATCAGGGGAAATTTGGCAACGTTCGAGATGCTCATACTGCGTTTTCGCTTAGCGCAGCGCGGCCGGCTGCGCCGCTTCTCCCAGGCCGAAAGTTCAATCCGTGCGTGCGCAAAAATACGCACTCCGAGCGGTGGAAAATACTTCATAGCAGGTGTAAAGAGGTTAAAAAACCGGGTCAGAATAGATGGAATTGACTCGGGGACCTGGAAATTTTCCTCGAGAAACTTCAAATCAAATAGCCAAAAATAACGGAGCACAAGACATCAAATTTGATTAGCCAAATCGAACGGTTGTGACCGAATCTGTGAGGAGGAGGGACCTTATCTTACTGGAGAAAATTTTCCAAGAAAACCATATTTGAGGAAACATTTCAAGATTGGCTATTTCCAGTAAGCCTTTGGAACAAACCACGCGGGTTTTAGTTCAATTTTCTCCACTACAGCGGGCGCTAACTGGCCCTTTTCTGTGTGCAAGTCAGAATTATTAACCTAAAACATCTAAAATGTTAACTTACGACTTAAGAACTTTAGTCTTGGAACTTTCAGATCGTCATCCCCATGATTTTTGAGTTTTCATGGTCAAACTTGCACCGACATTTTCAAATTTTTGAACTGTTTTGTACTGGCTATTGCAGCAACGGACTCGACTTACGTGCAATATGCATACAGATTCATTGAGTGAGAGAGATTCTTTTTACGGGAATCAATAAGCTAAATATCTTGGATTTTAGTATCATCTCAGTCGATCACCCTGGATATGAATGAACCGAGTCGAGTAAAGGCTCTTTGATAACAACTTCGAATTCTTCACAATTAAACTGATTGACGCAAGCAAATGCTTGACAAATCAAACGATATTTTTTATTTTTCAGCGGGTCGTTCCAGCTATCCACATACTTTAGCACGCGCCACCTTGAACTTGCTGTCATCGAGGAAATCCCACCGATATAAAATGATTCTCTTATCAATGGGCAAAGATTTTGCTACTCATCACGTGCTTCCCTAAAACGCGTAGTAGTCACCATGAACTCGCGATGACGAAATTAAAAATGCATCCATTCATCCGCAAGCTCGTTGACCGATTCATTATTTCATCGCTTCGATGACGCAAGGGCGTGACGTACTTTTTGAAATGAGCCTGATCGTCCCTAGAAATTCATACTGACAATGAGAAAAATAGTCAGAAAACGGGTTAAAAATCCGAGAAAAAAGTCGTAAATTGAAAGAGAATTGCGTTGGCTTTAAATTGATTCCAGTGAGAAATTTTTCCTTGAACTAGTAATAAGAGTATCTAATTTGAATTAACTAATTTCAACCACTTATAAGACATTTTCTATCAATTAAAAAAAAAAAAAAAATTATTTTACTCGAGAGGAGGAGAAATTCAATATTTTAAAACGTGTTATTTAACCATTTAATGGTACACAATAACCACTACTCACGTGAAAATGCAAAACGCTCTTACGTTCGAAAAGCGACAATTTAATTGATCGATCGATCGATCGATAGACATGAATACAGGGTTATAGGCTGCCGGAATGCAAGAGCGTATTCTTTGGAATGGATAGTTCGACATGTTCCGGCAAAGGTATCACAAACGCCATGCGACGTTTTAAAATTTCCGCCGCCATTTTACTTCCACACAGAGAAATTGTTCAACCAAGCTGTCCGAAAATTTCACTGAATTTTCGTTGTGCTACCGATATTTAGTGGAATTTTCAAACAGATTCAACCAAAAATTTCTCTATAAAAAAATTAAATGGCTGCGGAAATTTTGAAACGTCGCATGGCGCTTGTGATACTTTGCCCGGAAGGTGGCAATGTACTGTTACGAATTATGACTTTTTTTCTGTTCGAAAGTACATCAAAATGAAAGGAATTCCAGAAAACATTATTTTCAATCGAAATTACGTAAATAATTAAGGCACATATCGAAGAGATTAAAATATCTAATCACGAAAGAAAATCACTGAAATCAGAGATTCGACGGAGCCGCTCTCGGCGCATAATTGCGTTGATTTGAGGATTCCGTTAGGTAACCACGTTGCGTTCCCGCTAATGCATTTACTCTGTATCCAGGCCCGAGCGGGGGTTCGAGGACTCGCGATTTTATCAAAGGGATAAAAAGGCTATTGTTTATCCTCCTTCCTCGTTCCACGTATCCGTCAGCGGCGAGGATCGTTGTTTCAGCATTAAGCAGTTTTTTTCAGCGCTTCGTTTCGGCGCTGCGATAAGATTAATAGCGTCTGACAATATTAACGCGTCGTTTTTTCTCCCCGTCGCTCGCACGTCACCACGCCACAGCAGCGTCGCGCCGCGTCGGGCGCCTGAAAAAGGGATACTGCAAAGGCACCCCCCGGATCCCTCCACACCCCCGTCCGTCGTGCTCTCCACGCGGTACCCTCTTCGCCGAATCCGAATCCCTGAGCACTGCTGTGCTGCCGGATATTTTTTCCGGGGAAAAATCGTTGAGCATTTCATAAACGGAGAGATTCGTGTGGGAGGAGCAAGATGTAGGTGATTCGATGGACGCCATATTTTGTGTCAGAACGGCATGCGATATATCGCATCAGTTGGTTCCGTTTTTTCAGCTTAGTTTTTTAGAGGAAAAATATCACATTCGATACTGATATCGAAACTGCACTCGAATGCGATATTTTTCCTCTAAGAAAGCCCTGCCTTTATTCAGTTGAATTTTCAAAATTTTCAAAATTTCTTTGTCAAATTTGGTACATGAATTCTTTAGTCTCATGACAACAGAAGTGCGACCCCAAAATTCGAAAAAATGACAAGTAGCAGCAATTATGAAACGAATTGATGCGATGGATCGCACGTCGCTCTGACACAAAAAATGGCAACCATCGAATCACCTTGATGGCGAAAAATGCTGAGGAACGTCGAAAAATTCATCTTGGAGTCGGTAAAATAGGCTCAAGTGTGAAAAAAATTTAAGAATTTTGCTATTCTTTAGTACTTGTCATTTTCTTTCCTAATCTTTTTTCTATTATGGATCGTATTTGATAGTGTTTCGATACATCGTATGGTTCAAAACAACAGGATACAATCTCAAACTAACATTTAAGCTTATGCGTGCACTCGCTTTTTAATTCTTCGGTCCTGGTTTTCTTAGTTAAAAAACGGCGATGGTCATTTCGGACCCTATGGATCCATCTTCAGGTTAAACAGCAATCGCGAGACTCGAACTTGTCGAGGAAATAAAAATAAAAATAAACACGTTACCTCACTATACAACGTTATCAGCGCGTATCTGTTTTTAAGTGAGTACACACGTAAACATTGACACCTGATCAAGTAAAGAACTCATTCGACTTAAAACATTTTCGCATTTAAGTTAGAAAATCTGAAAATGGGAAAATTCCTGACAATTTCACGGTTCATTGCCATTTGGTACTCGAAAGAATAAAAAATCAATCACAAAGGACCCGTTCCCTCGGATTTCAAAATTTACTTTTGAGGCACCTGTTTGATGAATCGAATACGATCTGCACTGGAAAAAAA